CTTAAGAGTGGAAAGGAGGGAATTGAACTCAATCTTTTACTTCCTGATGTTTTGTGGGGAGGGGTGGACACCAGAATATTTTTGTCTCTTTCCTCTTTAAATTCACTTTTCCTTCTCTGAAAGATTTCACCAAAATGTTAGTATTGCTGTCATTCTTTCCTGTTCCTTATTCCTTCACAGAGTTACTATTAGTCTTTTCATTCTGCCATCTTTAAAGTTTGTCTGAGTTTTAAGGAATAAGTATTTTGCCCTTGAGAGAGAACATACCTACCCTGTTCTCTGAAGGTGTATTCGTTTTCCAGTGCCTAGTTAACAAAGACACTGTTCCTCATTTTCTTGCTATCTACTAATGTGTTGAGCTGCAGGAGTTACTGCATGTGATTTGGTTTACTAGCTTAGGAATTTGGAAGGTCACATATTTTCTTCTGCTGTTGTATTCAGCCCTGACATATTTTTACAGAAGGTTCTCTTTGGGGGACTTAATAGATCTTTGGTTTCAACATAAACTCACTTTTTCCCTAGGAGGTAGGTAGGGCGGGTAGTACAGATTTATTTAGCCTGTTTAAATGATGCCGGGGTCAGATGGAAAATTGATTTACTCAAGATCACACATGGCAAGTTAATCAGAGTCAAGATCCTGTTTAAATGTTTGGTATTGTTTTCATATCCCTTAATTATGAAAAGTTTAAAACAAAAGGTAAGAAGAGTTGAAAAATGCAGTTTTTATTTTTTTGAGACGGAGTCTGGCTCTGTCGCCCAGCCTGGAGTGCAGTGGCCGGATCTCAGCTCACTGCAAGCTCCGCCTCCCGGGTTTACACCATTCTCCTGCCTCAGCCTCCCGAGTAGCTGGGACTACAGGCGCCCGCCACCTCGCCCGGCTAGTTTTTTGTGTTTTTTTTTTTTTTTTTAGTAGAGACAGGGTTTCACCATGTTAGCCAGGCTGATCTCGATCTCCTGACCTTGTGATCCGCCTGTCTCGGCCTCCCAAAGTGCTGGGATTACAGGCTTGAGCCACCGCGCCCGGCCGAAAAATGCAGTTTTTAATCGGAGGTTTGCTGATGATCCATTCCAATTTGAGGAAATCTTTTGTAATTAAAAAATTTCTGGACGGGCGCGGTGGCTCATGCCTGTAATCCCAGCACTTTGGGAGGCCGAGGCGGGTGGATCACGAGATCAGGAAATCGAGACCATCCTGGCCAACGTGATGAAACCCCATCTCTACTAAAAAATAACAAAAATTAGCTGGGCGTGGTGGCACATGCCTGTAATCCCAGCTACTTGGGAGGCTGAGGCAGGAGAATCCCTTGAACCAGGGAGCTGGAGGTTGCAGTGAGCCGAGATTGCGCCACAGCACTCTAGCCTGGTGACAGAGCGAGACTCCGTCTCAAAAAAAAAAAAAAGAAAAAAAAATTTCTCCTTTGGTCTTACACCCTATGGTTTCTTCTGTTTGACAGCCAAAATAGTCACCATTGTATGCTTCTTCTCAACTGCATTCTTTCTTATTTATTTATTTGTTTTTTTGAGACAGAGTTTCACTCTTGTTGCCCAGGCTGGAGTGCAGTTGTGCAATCTCGGCTCACTGCAACCTCTGCCTCCCAGGTTCAAGCGCTTCTCCTGCCTTAGCCTCCCAAGTGGCTGTGATTACAGGCATGTGCTACTATGCCTGGCCAATTTTTGTATTTTTAGTAGAGATGGGGTTTCACCATGTTGGTCAGGCTGGTCTCGAACTCCTGACCTCCCGTAATCCATCCGCTTCGGCTTCCCAAAGTGCTGGGATTACAGGTGTGGGCCACCGTGCTTGGTTCAACTGAGTTCTTTGCTTTTGATTGTCCCTTTTTCTTACTCTCCTATGGCAGCCACTTCTGGCTTTAAAGTTCCCATATCTATAAAGCAGAGTAGTTTTGAAGCTCTCAAAAATGTTCTTTAGAGCCAGAAGAATGGAAAACTTATAGTATTTCAAGTCTCTGTATGTCTTTTTTATTTATCCCAGTACTCCTTTTCTCAAGAATTGGGACATATTGATACAGAGAGTTGTACATTAATAATGTATCAGGTGATGAATAATTATTTAAAAATCTGTTTCATAACATTATAGAACAACCTAGAAGTGGTTTTAATTTATCAACCATTAGGTTGTGGCAGAACCGCTCTCCTTTTTTTTTTTTTTTTTAAACTTCTTAGGAATTTTTTTCCACCTAAATTTTATTTTATTTTTTTGAGACAGTCTCACTCTTGTCGCCCAGGCTGGAGTGCAGTGGCACGATCTTGGCTCACTGCAACCTCCGCCTCCCGGGTTCAAGCGATTCTCCTCCCTCAGCCCCCTGAGTAACTGGGACTATATGCGCCTGCCACCGCGCCTGGTTAATTTTTTTGTATTTTTAGTAGAGACGGGGTTTCACCATGTTGGTCGGGCTAGTCTCGAACACCTGACCTCAAATGATTGCCCTGCCCCGTCCTCCCAAAGTTGTGGGATTGCAGGCATGAGCCGCTGCGCCCGGCGCTCCACCTGTAATTTTAGTTAAAAGATTTTTTTTTTGGGGTTGTTTTGGTAGTGCTTCGTGTCTTTGGATTTTATCTCTAGTAATCACCCCAAAGAAGGAAAGTTATATAGTGTCTTTAAAATACTTCCCTTCCCCTGTTTCCTGTTATTTTTCCCCTCAAGCAATTTTAATTAACTGTTCTGTGACAGATGGTAAAATGGGGTTGCCCGAAGTGCTCTGGTGGGCTGTATTAAGTGATGGGTGGTTTGTACTGATCGTATTGTAGAAGGATCGAGCCTTTCCCCTCCCCCCTTCAGTTGAGCTGTAATCTTGTTAGATGATCTTAAAATGCTATTGATTAATTTACAGTGCTGTTAGAGGAATAAGCATAAATACTGGATTTAAAACCTAAGAAGTAATTCCCTTGAGCTCTGAATGCCTTAGCCTTGAGGCCAAGAGAGGTACCTTCCAACTTCTCCACCCAGTCTTCACTGAAAAGGAAAGTTAAGCCTTTTAACTTTTCCATTTGCTTCTCCCCCTTAGTGTAGTACTGCTGCCAGTTGCTATGGCAACGGACTGGGACAGCTGCGCAGTGGCGCCCAGGCAGCTGGGTGGGGGCGGGGGAGCTGCCAGCCCGCCAAGACCCAGACCTGGGAGGGGAGGCCCCTCCTGTTAGCCCAGAGGGAAAGAAAGAACTGGGGCGATCCGGTAGGTAAAGGAGGGAACCCCCATTCATTTTCTGCCTTTGGGGCTCCTCTTCTGCATGAAGGTATAAAGGGAGATTTTCCTTTTCTCTCCCCCAAAATGAAGAACACATGTAAATCCTTGTTTTTCCTGGTGAGGCAGGGGAGGCCATAGCCACAATGCTTAACTGCATGCATCTAACATGGGGCTGGTTTTAACCCCAGCGCTCTGACCTAAACTGCTCAGCTCCCGGAAATTCCAAGGTGAGTGGGGGTGGGGGTGGGGTACTCTCCCTGGAATATGACATTTCCTGTCTCTGGTGAGGTTGGAGGCTGTTTCATTTTAAATAAACCACATAAGATATTTTCTTGAAGCTTAGGACTCTTCTAAATTCATGGAAAAATTATTTTAACCCCCCCCCGCACCTACATTTTCCTACTACTTCTTCCAAATAGAGTATTTTAATAAAAACTTAGTCGTATAGGGCAGTAATGGGTATAGGCAGTGTTTTAGGTGGGGAGACCTATTGCTAGTAAGTTCTGGAGATATGGTTTCCAACTATATATTCTTGTAATAATTTTTAAAGTTTTGCTAATTTGAAGTGAATTGATAATTGCCACTTTTTATGTGACTTGAACATCATTGTGAGATTAGTAGTGGGCCCTCCCTGACCCAGTGGTTTTCTGGTCAGGGTGGAAATATTTAGAGGGTGCTGATAAACATCTTTAAAGATTACAGGAAAACAATAATGGAGTTCAGCTAAGAAAACAATTTCTGCTACTCTGTAATCCAGACTGTAGGCGCCATTTAGCATGGTTAAGGAAGAATTCTTAAAAATGATTGTGGAAGAGCGACATGGGAATTTTAAAAACTAGATTCTCTGTTGAGTACCCCCTGGTGTGCATATTTCTGAGCTTAACTCAATTTCCATTTGTGTTTCCTTGCTTCAGCTTTCCTTGGGCCTATGAATGGTTCCTCTGTATTTTGAGGAGGCTTCATGTTGATGCTGAGTCTGGGGCCAGACTTCTTTTTCCTCCTCCTCTTCCTTTGGCCCTGAGTCAACTTCAGTTAAGAGGAGAGGTACCTTCTTAACTATTTGGATTAGTTACATCTTGGGAATTACTCAACAATCTAGTGACTAATTTTGAATTTTAGGACTGAAATTTTTTTTCTCCTTTCTGCCTCCCTCCCATCCCCAAATTAGCTTTCTAAAAAGGAAGCTTAGTGTGTTTGAGATGTCAGCCTTGCTTTTGTGAGCTGATGGATGCTCTGAAGGGACAAGCTCAATTTGTTTAAGGGAAATGTACCAAGTCACTGAAAATGTGGTGAAAGATGCCTGAGCAAGCCTTTTTTTTGTGCTGGTGAGAGACTGGGCAAGATGCTCAGAGCACAGAAAACTCATATTTTAGTGGCTTTTCTTTTTTCATTTTTATAAAGACCCTTATTCACTTTGGAGAAAAAGGTTTTAATTTTATCTTGGTTCATTTAACTGAAGATTTTGCACATTTCTGTTTGAGTTCCTGGCTTGTAAATAGTTATAAACATAGCCAGGAATAACATACCACACTACTTGTCTTTTGGAATCTGAAAGAAGAGTTAGACAATTGCGCCTTCTAATAATTTTGGTCTCTTTAGCCGAAGAGAAGGTTGTGGTTGAGGAAGTGAAGACTGATTCATTTTTAAATTAAATTCTTAGGACTCATCTGTAGAATGATTTGAGACTCAAGAGCAGGGCACATGGCAACTTGGTGTTATCCCCTTTTCGTCCCATCAAGAAGAGACAAAGTTTTTAACTCTTCACATGGATTCTAACTATTTTGTCCTTTGCCTTTATAGGGACCCGGTGGCCTTAGTCTTTCAGGTGGAACGGTGTGCGACATGGGAAAGAAAACCAAGCGGACAGCTGACAGTTCTTCTTCAGAGGATGAGGAGGAGTACGTTGTGGAGAAGGTGCTAGACAGGCGTGTAGTTAAGGGACAAGTGGAATATCTACTGAAGTGGAAAGGCTTTTCTGAGTAAGTTCCTTTTTTTCCCCAGGCTTTGGTACTCTGTAGAGATAGACATCTTTGGTTTATTTCCTTAGGAATCATGAGCATCTTTGTGTTTTTCTTCCCCCTCCCGCACTCTTCCTAAGAGTTAGAAGACACAGCAGTAAACAAAACAAAATCTCCCTGCTTGTGGAGCTTATGTGCTAATGATACTGCTTTTGAAAGGCAGTATAATGAATTGGTTAGGAGCACAGACTCGGGAGTCAGATTGCCTGGATCTAGATTCTAACTCCACCACTTATGATACAAACTGGATAGCCTTGGCTAATTTCCTTAATCATTTTATCTCCTTAGTGGAATAAGGATAAACAGTAGTGCTTATAAGGCCAGGCGCGGTGGCTTGTACTCTAATCTCAGCACTTTGGGAGGCTGAGGCGGGCGGATCACCTGAGGTCAGGAGTTTGAGACCCGCCTGGCCAACATGGCGAAACCCCATCTACTAAAAATAAAAAAATTAGCTAGGTGTGGTGGCGGGCAGCTGTAATCCCAGCTACTGGGGAGGCTGAGGTAGGAGAATCACTTGAACTCAGGAGGCAGAGGTTGCAGTGAGCCAGGATTGTGCCACTGCACTCCAGCCTGGGTGACTGTGTTTTTAGTAGAGGCAGGGTTTTGCCATGTTGCTCAGGCTGGTCTGGAACTTCCAGGCTCAAGTGAGCCATCTGCCTTGGCCTCCCAAAGTGCTGGGATTACAGGTGTGAGCCACCGTGCCCGGCTGTGAAATTAATTTTAATAATATTTTATTTAACCTAGTATATGAAAAATACTATTTCAGCGTTAAAATCAGTACAAAAGTTATTAACGAAATTTTGTGTGTGTGTGTGCTAAGACTTGAAAATCTGGGATATATTTTACACTTTATAGTGCATCTCCATTCAAACTAGCTGCATTTCAAATAGGCAGATGTGGCTAGTGGTTACCATATTGGATGGCACAGCTCTGTAGTATAGGACCTAAATACACTGAAAGATACAGTGGTTTACCAATACTTTTGGATAAAGGCTATGTGTCAAGAACCTTTGAAACATACGGGAGGTTATTTCATTACATGATCAAGGTTTCTCATCTGGAGAATTATTGGCATGTAAGTGGGATCATTCACGCATTTTGCAGGATGCTTAGCATCTCTAGCACCCAGAGTGCAAGTATGGGGTAGCACAACAATCAGAAGATGCCCTCTTTCTAGAGAGGAGTGGTATCATGGCTTCCACTAGTGATGAGAACTGTTGAGTTTGAGAGACCTCTAGAGCACTAACAGATAGGAACTAAAGTAACACCTGAAGATTTTGAAGATGTTTATTGGGCCCATTGAATCACCACTGGAAATATTTGGGGTATTTGAAAGATACTTGAAACTCTTTCTCTGTCATTGAGCTACTGGTGCCGTACCATAGATGAAAGGGGGAAAGATAAGGTTTGGGGTAGACAAATTAAACATTGGTCCTTACTTTTTCAGAAATGCCCTGGATTTCATAAAAGACTGCAACAAATCAGCATTATCTATAACTGAACGCCTACTTTGTGCTAGACAGTGATCAGATTCTACCTCTCGTGCTTTTTTTGATTCTCATAAAAGCATTTAGAGTCCAGGCGTGGTGGTGTGTGCCTGTAGTCCCAGCTACTAGGGAGGCTGAAGTGGGAGGATTGCTTGAGTCCAGGAGTTCTGGGCTATAGTGCACTAAACGGATCAGGTGTCTGCATTAAGTTTGGCATCAATATAGTGACCTCCCAGGAGTGAGGGACCACCAGGTTGCCTAAGGAGGAGTGAACCAGAGCAGGTCAGAACTCCTGTTCTGAGCATTAGTGAGATCAGGCCTATGAATAGCCACTGCACTCCTGTCTGGTTAACATAGCAAGACCCTGCCTCTTCAAAAACTTTAATTTTTTTAAATTTAAATTTTTACATATTTTTATCTTTAAAATAGAGACAGGGTCTCACTGTGTTACCCAGGCTGGTCTCGCACTCTTGGGTTCAACCAATCTGCCTGCCTTGGCCTCTCGAAGTGCTGGGATTATAGGTGTGAATCACTGTCCCTGGCCAACCCAGGCTCTTTTTAAATCATACTATGTTGTCTTTTGGGTGGAAACCAAAGTAGAAGCAGCAGTGCCAAAGTGTTAGGAAAAGGGATAATCCCCTTATAGGACTGGCTTTCCTAGCTTTCAACAGACTCCTCCCAACCCCCAAGTCTATTCAGCTTGTGTAATAGTGTTGGTACACCTTTCAATATTGGTATGTTAATTTCCTCTGGAATGGTAAACTATGTGGTATGTGGGTTTTGGGGAAAGTTACTGTGTGAGGAATTTTTTTTCTTGACCTTTTTTTTTTTTTTTTTGAGACGGAGTCTCGCTCTGTCGCCCAGGCTAGAGTGCAGTGGCGCGATCTCAGCTCACTGCAAGCTCCGCCGCCTCCCAGGTTCACACCATTCTCCTGCCTCAGCCTCCCTAGAAGCTGGGACTATAGGCGCCCGCCACCAGGCCCGGTTAATTTTTTTTTTGTTTTGTTTTGTTTTTTTTTTTGAGACGGAGTCTCGCTGTGTAGCCCAGGCTGGAGTGCAGTGGCGCGATCTCGGCTCACTACAAGCTCCGCCTCCCGGGTTCACGCCATTCTCCCGCCTCAGCCTCCGAGTAGCTGGGACTA